GCCCGCAGCTCCGCGCCACCGCGGCCAGTCTCACCTGGCGGCGCCGCCCGCCCACCGCCCCGGCCACAGCCCCTGCGCCCACGGCAACATCCGAGGCGACTGCGACAGCGGCGGGGGACGCTGCTGAGTCGAAGAGCACAGACTGGCTACCGGACCTACTTACTCGCCTCGCCGATTGTCTACTTTTAAGAGTTTACAGCTTTTCTAAGAACTTTTGTATACCAACGAACTTTCTTAAAACGTCTTCAATTTATATTTAATCCAAAGAAGAAGGATCTCGGGGCAGTTTGGGGGTTTGGGTTTTGGCTTCGTTTCTAAGTTTTTCTACGTTGATTTTGGGGTTCGGGTAACCCCCAGCTAAGGGCTCCCGAGGACTTTCTGGGCCCCCACATTAATGAGGTAGGTGAGGCGCGGAGCGCTGGGGGTAGGAGGGTGAGGACCGGTGGGACGCGCCGGCGCGTCGGCCGACAGTAGCCCCTGACTTCTATCTCTTGCTCCCCGCCCGGCCCACAGGCAGCCACCTGGCGAGTCTGACATGGCTGTCAGCGACGCGCTGCTCCCGTCTTTCTCCACGTTTGCCTCCGGCCCGGCGGGAAGGGAGAAGTCACTGCGTCCGGCAGGTGCCCCGAATAACGTAAGTGTCGGCCTGGGCCGCCGGGAACACCGATGGGCTTCTGGGGGTGGAGTGGGATGGGAGCGGGCGGGACACTCAGGTCACCAAGAGCCACTGGGCAAGGGTAAGGAGTGGTCACCGCGCGGACTCTTCAGCGTTCCCGGGAAGGCTTCTGCGCTCTTAGCTCGGCAATATATGCCTGTGGTCCCGGGCATTGCGGTGCCGCCGGGTCCTGCCTTGTCCCCTTGCAAGCGGTCGGTAGGGCGGGCGCGCGCAGGCCACCGGGCGGGAGGTGTCTGCGTCCCCAGACTATGGGCCCGAGTGAGCTTAGCGCGTGGGCGGCCCCGTGGCCAGGGAGCACCGAGAGAGCCTCGGTGTCCCAATTCCGGGGACGTCCTCGAGATCTGGCGGGGGAGGGACCGGGGCTGGCAGGTTGTGGCGCTCGCTCCCACGGAGTGGGACACACAGCTACCTACCACCTTCAATACAGCCGGCATCACTTGTTCATGGACCCAGTTTGGGGGCCAAGATTGCAGCGCCGGTGTTCTGAGTTCCTGGGCGCTTCCAGCCTGCCCGGTTCCCATGTCTGGGGGCTGCAGGCGCGTGTGGCCCGCCAGCACGTCAGTACGTGGGGTGTCAACTGGGGGCCACCGCTGACGGTCTTTTTCCTGTCCTGTCCCCGCAGCGCTGGCGGGAGGAGCTCTCCCACATGAAGCGACTTCCCCCAGTGCTTCCTGGCCGCCCCTACGACCTGGCGGCGGCGACCGTGACCACAGACCTGGAGAGCGGCGGAGCCGGCGCGGCTTGCGGTGGTAGCAACGCGGCGCTTCTACCCCGGAGGGAGACGGAGGTGTTCAACGATAACGATCTCCTGGACCTGGACTTTATCCTTTCCAACTCGCTGGCCCATCCGGAGTCGGTGGCCGCCACCGTGTCCTCATCGGCGTCAGCTTCATCCTCGTCCTCCCCTTCGAGCAGCGGTCCTGCCAGCGCGCCCTCCACCTGTAGCTTCAGCTATCCGATTCGAGCCGGGGGCGACCCGGGCGTGGCGCCTGGCGGCACAGGCGGAGGCCTCCTCTATGGCCGAGAGTCTGCGCCCCCTCCCACGGCTCCCTTCAACCTGGCGGACATCAACGACGTGAGCCCCTCTGGCGGCTTCGTGGCCGAGCTCTTGAGGCCCGAACTGGACCCCGTGTACATTCCGCCGCAGCAGCCGCAGCCGCCAGGTGGCGGGCTGATGGGAAAGTTTGTGTTGAAGTCGTCGATGAGCGCCCCTGGCAGCGAGTATGGCAGTCCCTCGGTCATCAGTGTTAGCAAAGGCAGCCCTGACGGCAGCCACCCGGTGGTAGCGGCGCCCTACAGTGGCGGGCCGCCGCGTATGTGCCCAAAGATCAAGCAGGAGGCAGTCCCCTCCTGCACCGTTGGCCGGCCCCTGGAGGCCCATTTGGGCGCTGGACCCCCTCTCAGCAATGGCCACCGGCCAACTGCACACGACTTCTCCTTGGGGCGGCCGCTCCCCAGCAGGACTACCCCGACTCTGGGTCCCGAGGAACTACTGAGCACCAGGGACTGTCACCCTGCCCTGCCGCTGCCCCCAGGCTTCCACCCGCACCCGGGTCCCAACTACCCACCCTTCCTGCCAGACCAGATGCAGCCACAAGTCCCGCCGCTCCATTACCAAGGTCAGTCCCCGGGATTCTTAGCTCGGGCTGGGGAGACGTATAAGGCGTATGGGGTGTTGCTGACCTCACCTTCTTCGCCCCTAGAACTCATGCCACCGGGTTCCTGCATTTCGGAGGAGCCCAAGCCAAAGAGGGGAAGAAGATCATGGCCTCGGAAAAGAACCGCCACCCACACTTGTGATTACGCGGGCTGCGGCAAAACCTATACAAAGAGTTCTCATCTCAAGGCACACCTGCGAACCCACACAGGTAGGGGGACCCAAGCCGCTTGGAAGGAGGGGGGTGGCGTCCAGCCTCCTAGGCTAACTGGACACTCCTCAGTGCCTCCTGGGGTTGCCAGTGCGGTCCTATCTCCTTCATCTCCTGGATCACAGGAGAAGCCAGCAAACCGGCGCCTCCTTTTCTGCCCAGGAGCTTTTGGCTTGATGGGTGGTATCTGTGCTTGAATGTGTAGTTTGTTAGGCTTTTAAAAGGCAGGAGATTCCCAGTGTTATGTGGGCCTTTCCTAGCGTGAGCAAAGTATTGCCCTTGTAACCAGGAAATTATACTCTGCAGTGTAAAAGCCTGATGGCTTTTTTTTAATTACCAGTTTTTAATTTTCCAGACTTTTTTCATTGGTTGTTCTTTTCCTAGGTGAACTCTCATTTCCTATTATTTTTGGTTGTGGTCTTAAAATTTTGGTTTTATTTAAATTCAGAGAATACAATGGTTACAATTGCTGGGGAGATTTTGGTTTAAGATTGTTGCAGCAAGCAGCAAATTTTCATGTCCATGTAAATAGGTACATGAGGTCACTTAGGTGTAGCCTTCACTAAGGTAAAGAAAAAAAAATAGCTGCCTGCAGCTTTTCAAACCCAGTTGTAGTGGGGATAGGGTATTTACTATAGCTGGGCTTGGGCTGGGAAACTCACCACAATTTCCAAATTCATTTTCTACCACCTTTTCATGTCTTGAAAAGAATCATTAGCCCTATAGAAGTGTAGGTTGGGTGGCGTTTTGTGTGTCTTCATTGCTTAATTAATGTTTCCTTAAAAACAGGAGCAATACATATTTAACATGTAGGAAGGGATGTATTCCTATTTATGCCCTAAAATTTAACGTGGCCCTTTAGTGCTCTAGACATAACTGGAATCTTAGAGAACAGGGTACATGCCTTGCGAAATTGGTTTAATAGGGCGGCGCCTGTGGCTCAAAAGGGTAGGGCGCCGGCCCCATATGCTGGAGGTAGCGGGTTCAAACCCAGCCCTGGCCAAAAGTGGCAAAAAAAAAAAAAGAAAAAGAAAAAGAAATTGGTTTAATAGCTGGTCGATCCGTTGTTACAGCAATGGCTTTAACACCTTTTCCCCCCTTTTTCCTTTGCAGGTGAGAAACCCTACCACTGTGACTGGGATGGCTGTGGGTGGAAATTCGCCCGGTCAGATGAACTGACAAGGCACTACCGCAAACACACCGGGCACCGCCCGTTCCAGTGCCAGAAGTGCGACCGTGCATTTTCTAGGTCGGACCACCTCGCCTTACACATGAAGAGACACTTTTAAGTCTCAAACAGTGGATATGACCCACACTGCCAGAAGAGAATTCAGTATTTTATACTTTTCACATTGTCTTCCCCGAGGAGGAAGGGGAAGAGCCCAGCTGGAAAGTGCGACAATCATGGTCAAGTTCCCACCTGAGTCAACTTGTGATCAGGAAACACGAGGAAGCCAAAAGTCAAAAATCAAAGAACCGATGGGGTCTGTGACTGGATCTTCTATCATTCCAATTCTAAATTCAACTTGAATATTCCTGGACTTAACAAAAATGCCGAGGGGGTGACTGGAAGTTGTGGCTATCAGGGTATAAATTAGATCCGTGAGTTGGGGGAGGGAAGACCAGAATTCCCTTGAATTGTGTTTTGATGCA